AGACTCTAAAATTCAGAATGAATAAAAGATAATGAAGGAAGAAAAACATTTTTTTTTCAATTGATCAGATACAATATTCTACAACTTCTTATAACTAAAGTAGCCTGAAAGCATTTTGCAGATATACAATTTGACAAAAATAATTAAATGATGTTCTTTAATATGCCAAACACAGAATATACCAAAAAATTAATAAGTTTGAGTTGCCACTTCTCGTTTCCATCTTCTTCTTTTTTTTTAGTCTCACTCTCTGGTACCAATTTGTTACGTATCTGCTCGTTTGATAATTTCCGGTATAAATTCTTTCCGAGGAACTTCAGCGATACAAGTCATTTCTTATATAAAACTAGTTTATTCTTTCTCGATACAACATTGTAATACACAGAATTTCCACAGTCACTTTAACTTAACTACTTTTATAAACACACGCTACAAATCACAGCGATTCACACACTTTACTTTCAGTGCCTACTGTTCGCTTGACTCAATTATCCATCTCTATATCTCTGCAATTCTATCTTTTTTTCGCTGGCTTTATTTGCTGGGCTTATATACTAAAAAAGAGGGTGCCTGGAACAAACTAAAGTTGCCAGGAAAATTCACATCCTTCGAGAAACTCCAGTGCGCATGCTACCAGCGTTGCGTGACTTCCACTGTCATAACAGCAGAAAAGGTTGATGATTGGAGTTGTATATCAGTATAAATGTCCTAAGTGTAAGTCTGTGCATACTGAATCTATTATAACATCCTTAGAATAAAAAATATGGGACAGTTTCAGGTCAGACCAGTTTTCTAGTATTAAGGAACATGCCTTGAAACAGTATGATGAGTCCCTGGTGAAAGAGGATTTCAAGATTATAGTCCGAGGTAAAGATGTAAATGAGTTAAGGATAATAAACAGACATAAACCAGAATGTGAGACTAGTACCACCACTGTATTCCTTTTATTGTCACTTAAACAAGTTAACATGAATTGGGAGTTCTCTGCCTTACATATATGTTAATTAGAATAATTCTGGATGTAGGCAATCTAAGAATTGGGAGAAACCATACTTTGACCATGGTCTAACTTAAAAGTGCAGTATTACATTATGCCTTATACTGTCTTTACCCTATTGGACAAGATTTTGGAAGGTTTTTTTTTCCTCAAAATATAAATTAAATATTCAAAAGATGTTTTTATTTTTATTTATAGTATTCAGGTACATAAATAGCCAACAGATAAAAATGGAGTATCTTCAAAACACTGGTTCCAGCAATGTTACACAGAATGTTATAATGACCTTGGACAGTACAAGAAGAGTAGCATGATTAAGCGAACAAAGAAACTGATATCTTTATTCATTAGCAGTTTTACTATCTTTACTTACTGGCTGACTTCTATATTTATTTAAAGTCTAAGTGGCTCCCATATGTACCAATAAGGCAAAAAACAAACCATTGCAATACCAATACTGATTAAAAAAAAAGAAAGAAAGCACAGAAGAGGATGATTGATTATGACTACTCAGAATTTTAATACCAGAGTGAAAAGTCAATGGATCAACTATATATATAAATATGTAGTTTAGGTGAAGTGTGAAAAACAACTGTAAGAAGGCCTGCTTGTAGCTTTGTAATGAAACATTCCTTTGCTTTCTTAAATACTTTTATGAAAACCAAAAAAAAAGCAATGTACTCAATAGTTCATACTTCTTTGTTTTCATGTGTCATGTACCCATTTACTTTTGTAAGAGGAAATGCTTGACTTGTTTGATAAGGTATTTTACATGGGTAAATCAACATTTAGTAGAAATATTTCTTTCTTATTTTGAGTATAAGATATCCTAAATCTTGAAATATTACTTGCAAGCACGTAAATATTTGA